ACACACCAGACTACTTGATCCATGAGCATGACCATCGGGCCATCTGGGTGCTGGGAAGCCAGCTGGCCGGCTGGACTATGACTCATAGAGTCCTGGTACATGCCCACATGCTCACACAAACGCGCTCGCTCACACTAAAGCGCATAGAACTGGGACCCCACGCAGCTGCTCGTGGGCCCTGCTGGCCAGGGCCGTGCATCCCTTTCCATGCCCCGTGCTCCATGCTGTGTGAGAGTCTCCTTGAAACCCCATTCTCCAAGATTAAGAACAAGGAGGCAGCGCCATGCCTCTCTGCTCCCCCCTCCTCCCATCTCCACCCGGATGGCCCTGAGCTCCCACGCTGCTCCGGACCCGGGAGCTCACCCAGGGAGCTTCTGCTCGGCCCCTGTCTGCGGAGGCGTCAGCACCTCCAATTGCCCTGGTCGCCCTGCTGGTACAGGGAGATTTATACTCTCGGTTTTTTTTTTTTCTGGTCCCCAGAGCCCAGAGTTCACGTTCTAGGGCGCCTCTAGACGGTCTCGGGCGGCCTCTGCTGGGTGCTGGGAGCAAGGCAGGCAAAGGCGCTCCCTGCTGGCCACTGCGCGGAAACAAGGTTTCATGTTTGGTTCAGAATGCTGTGTTGTGATTAAATGTAACCTGTGCTAGCCAGCAAGGGCCACACGGACCTCTTCTTTCCTTCTTGTCTTTTTAATGACCTTTTGCTTTCTTCATGAATGCCCTCCCGCAGCTCATCAGGTCTCCTGTCGTTAGTGTCCAATGCACCAAATCTGTTCTTCATGGTCTATGAATGGGCTCTGACTGTTAGCCACGCCACGCACCCGCCTGTCTGCGGGGCCCTGCCCGTCCTCTCAACAGCACTAACGTGTGAGCCTATTGTTAAAAGTACCATGTCAGCCCATCTTACTGAGGACTTTTCTCTTTCTCTGACCCTCTGCCCTTCAGGATCCGGTCTCTCTTGATCCAAAGCATGTGAAACAAAGTTTCATTACTTTAACTTCTTCTTTTTTTTTTTTGTTTTTTTAGAGTTTTGGGGTGTTTTTTTTTACAATAAAATACTCATTATTTTAATTTGGTAAATATGTCTGTACAAAAGTATTTGCCATTTTCAATGAATGTACAAATGTGCTTTACACAATTGATGTTTGTATGGATTGTGATAAGAGTTGTATGAGCCCCCAATAAAATGATTTTTAAAAGAAGAGCTGTAAGAGCCCCAATTAAATGATTTATTTTTTTAAGTATTTGCCATTTTAACAATCTTTGCCTGTACAGTCGAATGATATTGTTTGTTGTATTCATTTTTCTATTTTTTCTTACTTTTATTGGAGGCGCTTATATCTCATCACAATCCATATATTCATTCAGTGTGTGAAATCGGATTAGACCAGAACATGCACACTGCTACCGATAAGAGCCCCAAACGCAGGGAATTCAGGACAGATAAACCCCTCAGGGCCAACAAGGAGAGTAGATACCAGGAGGACTGGGGGAGGGTGAGGGGAGAAAGGGGGAATGGATCACAAGGATCAATCTATAACCCCCTCCCTCCCAGAGGGGAATAACGGAAAAGTGGGTGAGGGGGTGATGGAGGACAATGTAAAATATGAAAATGATAATCTATAACTTATCAGGGGTTCTTGAGGGAGGGCAGGTGGGGGAGGGAGGGGGAAGAAATGGAGAGCTGATATCAGGTGGGAAGAGAATGCTTTGAAAATGATGATGGCGATGAAGGGAGATGTCGGACAGGGCAAGATATGACAAAATACCCATTTATAAACTATCAAGGGCTCATGCGGGAGTGGGGAGCGGGGAGGGAGGGGAAAAATGAGGACCTAATGTCGGGGGTTTAAATGGAGAGAAAATGTTTTGAGAAACGATGTACAAATGCGCTTTACACAATTGATGTGTGTATGGATTGGGACAACAGTTGTATGAGCCCCTAATAAAATGTTAAAAAAAAGAAAATGATGATGGCGGCATATGTGCAAACGTACTTTAACTTCTAAGGAGCCTGTTGGCTTCTTCCAAGACAGATTGGCTGTTCTCCAAATGCAGAGGAACTGCTGCAGCCCTCCTCCTTCAGGGCCCTCCTTTCACACGCAGATGAGGCGATTGAAAACACCCTGGCTTCCATTAGGAGCGAGATGTCTTTGCTCTATAGCGCATTAACGAAGCCTTATGCAGGAGCCCTGGTGAAGTAGTGGATCACACATTGAACTGTTTACCACAAGGTCAGTGGTTTGAACCCACTTGGCACTCTGAAGGGGAAAGATGAGGCTGGCTGCTCCAGGAAAGATTTCAAGGCTCAGAAAGCCAAGAGGCGGTTCTCTTCTGCCCTCTAGGGTCGCTGGGTTGGAACTGTCTCTCCATGGTAGTGGGTTGGGTGGGGTTCAGGACAGCAGATTTTCCCACTGCAATAGGTCCTTTGTTTTCTTTTTTAACTCATTTTATTGGGGCTCATACAACTCTTACCACAATCCATACATGCATCAATTTGTAAAGCACATTTGTACATTCACGGCCCTCATCAATCTCAAGACATTTGCTCTCCCCCTAAGCCCTTGGCATCAGCTCCTCATTTTCTCCCTCCCTCTCCGCTCCCTCCTCCCTCATGAACCCTTGATAATTTTTAAATTATTATTTTGTCATATCGTATACTGTCCTTTGTTTTCTTGACTACTGCTTCCATGAGCACTGATTGTGAATCCAAATAAAATGAAATCCTTGACGTTTCCCTTTGCTCTGTCACGGTGTTGTTTCTTGGTCCAGTTGTGAGGATGTCGGTTTTCTTTACACTAAGGTGTAACCCTACTGAAGGCTACGGTCCTAGATCTTCATCGGCACGTGTGTCCATTTCATCAAGCATGCTTAAGTCACCTGCGTACAGATGGTTGTTCATGGACCTTCCTCGGACCCTAATGCTTGGTCTTTCTTTATATATCCCACTTTCTGGAATTATTTACTCAGAATACAGATTAAATAAGTCTGGTACCTACCTGCAGGTACACCTGAAGGCTGCTCTTTGGTTAGAAGGGTGGAGCTAGTTTGGAGTTTTGCATTGTGGCATACAGCCTTCCCTCCAGAGCGAGTTAAGGGACTTCGTGTCTGAGGTTCATGATCTTTGCTCCGATTGCCTCCAGAGAGTGTGAAAGAATACAACCCTGATGCACGCCTTCCTTGATTGTAAAGTATGTGGTATCCACTTGTTTGGGTCCAATGACTGCCTCTATGTCTAGGTTCCATGTGAGTATAATTAAGTGCTACTTTTCTTTATCCATTGAGATGATAACACCCCCACCTCCATCCATGTTGACTCATCTTGAACTTTAAACCAACCTGGTGTCCAAGACCCTTCTCAGATGCCTATAAGGATGAATCAAAGAGTATTGCTACTGGGGCGCTTATCCTTCCACGCATAGGCTTGTTACACATCAAATGCGGTTAAACGTCTCTGTGGTCAGTGGCTGGCTACAAGCAGGTTCTCTCGGTGCTGTACTTGCCTTGGTTTTGCTACAGAGCCTTGGCTAAAAAAACAAACAAACAGTCAAAGTGCTGGCTTCTGCAGGGATCTGCCGGTCCAGTTCCATCCCAGGCAGACAGCTCAGCTCAGGAAGGTGACGGCGACTGTCCCTGTGTTTCCAGGGCACTGCCCGCTCTGCCAAGGCCATCTCTTCTGATGTTTGTGCGGCAGGCATTAAGATTCACGCAGGGGTCCCAAAGGCTGGGAAACTGAGCAAAGATGGATGGAGGTGTGCCGTGTGTCTGACACCACGCAGGGTGTGGGAGCGCCCGGATGCTCCAGCCACACGTGGGCAGGAAAGGCAGCAGCCCCTGACGTGTCCCTTCACTCACCTGTCCTCTTGGCTTTTGCTCTAGACGTTCGGCGCTGCCGACTGGGAGGTGTTCCACATTGGGGAGAGGATCTTCCTCGCCGTCGCCAACAGCCACAGCTATGATGTTGAAATGCAAGTGCAAAATGACTCCTACATCATCAACTCCGTCATCTATGAGCTGAATGTCACCGCGCAGTCGTTCGTCAAGTTCCAAGATATTCCTACCTGCAGGTACACCTGAAGGTTGCTCTTTGGTTAGAAGGGCGGAGCTAGTTTGGAGTTTTGCATTGTGGCAGACAACCTTCCCTCCAGAGCGAGTTAAGGGACTTCGTGTCTGAGGTTCATGATCTTTGCTCCGATTGCCTCCAGAGAGTGTGGTTCAGAACAATAACAGGCTTCCACAGCAGCAGCAACAAATCACTGCATTCCCTGTTGCTCTGGAGACAGAAGTGGAAGTCACCGCTAATTCTCATACGTTCTATTGCATTAAACCCATTCCATCTTTCAGTCGAGTTAACCTTCTACGAGTCAGGGTGCAATCGAACAGTTACGGACACTGTCTACACAGTAAAATGCTTCCACTCGGTTCTCATTGAAGATGTCACACATGTAGAATCACACAGTTGGCCCAGGGCCATGGCAAATCTCACTGCCTGGAACATGGGGCTGATGGTGACAGGTGATGGCTGAGGGGCCTCGGTGTGCCTTCCTCACTAGGTAGGGTCCTGGTCACCACTTGGGAGCGTAATTAACGCTGTGGTTTTGGACTCATCCCGGGATCTGATCTTCCCTAGCCCTGCATGTCTTTGGATATCTCCAACGACCTTCACACTCCCCGGCATCTGACCTCAGCTCCTGCTCTCAGCTGGCCCCCTGGTTCCCTAATAACCTGGAGCGAAGTCTCCACAAGAAGACAGGGTCCCTCAGCTTAGAGACCTACCGGGCACTTCAGGCAGCAGCCTGGACTGTGGCACCAGCCTGCCTCTTACTTGCTGTGTGGTGGGGCCTCGCTTTCCTAATCTGTAAGTGAGGGCAGGACCTGTGGTCATCAGTGAGGTGTGAGGCAGAGTCAGGGTCTGGGGCTTTCTCAGGAGGACAGGGTGTTGGGGAGTGCTTCCAGGAGGCCCCTTTCTCGTCCCCTCAGGTCTTTGCCCTTAGCAGAGGCAGGAGGGCCTGGGGCCTAAGACAGAATGTAACTAGAAGCAGTTTCCCAGTGTTAGGAAGGCTTTTATGTCCACAGTCGCTCTGAGGGCCCAAACAGCTGTTGGAGGAAGGAGCCAGGCCTCAGCTGGGCAATGTCACAGTCCTCAAGCTGCTGCCTCCAGAGGGGGCTCCGGCTCATGTGGGCTGAACAGGAGCGTGGGCTCTCCATCTGATGACTGGGGCTTCTTAAAAGGGAACCTCTGATTTACTACTCCTTCCTGCCACCCTAGAAAAGACCGAGTCCTTGGGCGGGACAAATCATTCACGTATTGAACTGCTGCTCCAAAAGGCTGCAGGTTGATTTGAATCCACCCAGAGGTTTGTCAGAAGAAAGGCCCTGGCAATCCACTTCTGGAAAATCAGCCGTAGGAAACCCTGGGGAGGGGGGGGAGGGGGGGAAGGAGGAGTGCTCAATCCCACCCTGACACGCAGCACGGGGTCACCATGAGTTGGCATCAGCCCAACCGGCAAATGGTTTGAGTTTATTGGTGTTGTTGAATAGACCAACTCACTCCGCTCCCTTGGGGAGAGCACCCCTCCGCGTGGGCCTTGGCACCTTGTCCGAGATTAGAGGAGTTGCTTCAAGTCACACCTTCCTCGGTCCCCCGCCTCCTTCACACCTCCTTGCCTTCTTCCGGGGCATCTGGGAATAACAGGCCCTCCTGTCTGCTCCCTTGTCTCTGCAGTGCCCTGGACTGGGAGTTCTTCTCGGTGGGAGAAGACTATTTCCTGGTGGTTGCTAACTCCTTCGATGGAAATACTTTCTCGGTAAACAGTATTATTTACAGGTAAAGAGCTGCCCAATGGCAGGGGCCTTCCTCCCACCTTGGTTCACCTTTGGATAGTCTCAGTTGGGACTTGCAGAGAATTGGGGACTCGGAGTGATCCACAGGCCATTGGCCTAGGTCATATGTGCCCAGGCTTCATCCAGCCTACCACCTGAGTGGGGAGAGAGCCTGGGTCGTTGCTCTGCATTTATCCAGGTGACTCACTGATCACGCTGCCTTGTGAAGCTCCAGGTTCTACCTGGAAGTGCAGCACAGAGACATGTCCATTTTTATGCTGTGGCCATTTCCCCTGTCAGATGCCCCATCCAGGAGAATGCTATGGCACCTCAGTTATCATGTCTTTTAATACCATGTTACCGCTCTCCTCTTAGAAACATGATGTCAGGCTAGTTTAAATTCATTTCCCAGGAGCCTTTCGATTATAATGAGGTTGACGATAATGAATGAGGTTTTTAGGATTTTCTATTTCCAGCTACTTTTGTGAACTATGATCTATTTTTGGATCTCTCCGCCTACCAAATTATCTTATCATTTTGAACAGGGATTCCTATGAATATAATTACAGCTATGAAAAAAGGCACTTTTGCCCTTTTTCTCTCTAATCTTTTCCCGGCTTAGTTGGCTTTCTTAGCTGGAAACTCCACCATGGTCCTGAGTAGAAGCTGTGGTGGCCAGCAGGGCCGCACTCTCTGATTTTAGTGAGACAGGTTAGGTCTGACACCATTGAAAGCAATGCTGCCCTCAATTGTTAGTGACATGAGGCTGTGTCACAGGTAAGTGGTGTCCTTGGGCATTTGTAAGTACATAGTGTGGCTCTCCCTCAGTCTGCCGAGGTGCAGATCCATAATAAGAGAGGCTCCTGGGGTGAATGTCATTTAATGATGGTATATAATTATTTAGTATGGCACTGAATGCCAATTGTTTATTGGGATTTTGCATCAGTAATATGAAATGCAATTGTTCCGTGGCTTTGTCTTGAAGGCTTTATCCAGTTAGATGTGAATGTTAACTTAATAAATAGATATCACAGTTTTCCAGCTATGCCTGGGAGATCAAATGGCTTGAATTTACCTGTTTTCTTTGGTTAAATTCAGTTATAGAACCAATGGGGCTGGTGGCCTGCTTGACTGCATATTTTTAATAACCTTTTCAGTTTCTCCTATGACTGTGGGTTTATTCATAGTCATCTATTTTTTAGACATTTAGTGCTGTAGAGTGTTCAATATGACAAAGTAATTTCAAATGTTCTATGGAACAATAAAATCTCAAAGACGGCCAAGAAATTCCTGAAAGCAAATTGTTTAATGGAAAAGTTAACAAGTGCCTGGGGGGCCTGGGACAGAGCAAGCCCAGAGTAGAGCCAGCCATGGATGACCACTTAATGTGATAAAGGTTGTATTTCAACACAATGAAAACAGGATCTGTTAACCAAGGCGCTTCCCATCATTTACTATCCATCTGGAAGAAAACAAAGCTAGGCCCTTACTTCATATCAAATATACATTTTATATGGTTTAAACATCAAAATGTAAAACATTAAACCTCAAAAAAAATGAGATGGAAAATAAATGGTGGTGATCGTCAGCACGGCACGGTTGGTTCCAACCCCATGTATTCTGGAACGGAAGGAGGCCTGGTCCTGGACCAGCCGCATAAATTGCTGTGGATTCGAGCCCATGGTTGTGGCCACTGAGTCCATCCATCTCCTTCAGCGTAGACCTCTAGCTCTCAGATTCAGTCCTTTACCAAGCATCATGTTTTGCTTCAGGGAATGGTTCCTCCTGATAACCTGTCCAGACGCCGTGAGGAACATTCTGGCTGTATGTCTTTCGAGAATAGATCTGTTTGTCCTTCTGACAATCCGTGGGACTGTCCGTACTCTTCGACACCATCGTTCAGAGGCAGCGCGTCTGTGGTCTTCCTTTTGGCTTTTCCAGCTTTCACGCACATACAAGGTCGTTGAAAGGACCCAGGACCGTGCCTGGGGAGGTGCGCCTTAATCTTCAAAGTGACCTCTTGTCTTTATAACACGTCTTTTGCGACAGAGCTTCCCGATGCGATATATTGTTTGATTTCTTGACTGCTGCAACTGTGAGCGTTGACTGGGGATTCGTGTAAAATGAAATCCTGACAAATGGCAACTTTTCTCCATGTTTCATGGTGCGGTTGATTGGCCAGTTGTGAAGATTTTTGTTTTCTTTGTGTGGAGGTGTGAGCCACACAGAAGGCTATAATCTTTGGTATTCATCAGCTGATGCCTAAAGTTTGCCTCGCAAAGCAGGCCAAGTTGTGGCATCTGCATATTTCAGGCTCTTAATTGGCTTTCCATTAATTCTAATTCCTCCTTTTTCTTCATATGGTTCAGCGTCTTAAGTTATTGACTCAGCATGCAGATTGGCTAAGTGTGGTGAAGGCGACAGGCCCCCAGGGAGACTCATCTCCCTTGACTTTCAACCACATTCTTGTTCTGCTCCAACAACTGTCTCTCGGTCTGTGTAGCAGGTTCTGCGTGAGCATAATTCAGTGTCCTGGGTTTCCCATTCTTTTAATGCTACCAATCATTTGCTATATACAGTAAGGTGCCTTTGCTCTGCTAACACACACCAGCACACATCATTCTGATCTTGCGTTCAGCCAAGACCCATCTGACCTCCACAATGGTATCCTCATCCCACGGCCTCTTCTGAATTTGGCTTGAATTTCTGCCAACTCCATATTAATGTACTGCTGCGAGCATTTTTTAATTGTCTTCTGTAAAAGCTTACTTGCACGTGATACTGATGGTCATGTTTGATGGCTTCTATCGGGCACCCTTCTGTGGAATGGGCACAGCTACGGATCTCTGACAGCTGGTTGGCCCCCTAGCTGTCTTCCATATTTCACAGATGAGTAGGCACGATTAGCACTGCATTCGTTTGTTGAACATCTCAATTAGTATTCCATTCATTCCTGGAGCCTTGGTTTTTCGCCAGGGCCTTCCGTGAAGGCTAGATTTCCTTCTGTGTAACCAGTGGTTGAGTACATGCTACCTCCTGAAAGGGCTGAGCATTTTTTTGGCACAGCGACACTGTGTATTATCTCCATCTCCTTTGGGTGCTTTCTGCGTTGTTAAATGTCTTTCCTATTGAAGTCCTCAGGATCGTACCGCGGGGCTTACATCTGCTCCTCAGTTCCTTCGTCTTGGTTTTGGACCTCCGGGTCTTTATACATTTGATTGTTGTTTTGTTCTGTCTTCCCAGGATAGCTGTTGAGATTCTCTGTCCAGCTCTCCCGTTCCCACGTCTTCCATTCCTCAGCCACGCCGTGTGCAAGAGCTAGTTCCATTCCTTCAGCCACGCCGTGTGCAAGAGCTAGTTCCAGTCTCCTCGGACGTTCGTTTCCGTCTTTCTTCCCTGTCTTTTTAATGACCTTCTTTTCCTTTGCGCGAGGCTATATCTTCTTCCCCTGTTACTGCAACCCAGGGGATATGTTTCACATCCACCCCAGGCTCAGGGGGAAGCCAGTGTTTCTTGGAAGAAGGAGCGGTGTCTTGGAATGGCCGCTATGATGAGCTGAGGTTGCGGGATGGAAGCGGGGCTGGCTGGATGGAACCGGCTCCCGAGCTGACTGTCTCTCTCCGCAGGTGGCAGGGCTACGAAGGCTTTGTGGCCGTGCACAGCCTCCCAACCTTTGGCTGCAGAGACTGGGAGGCCTTCAACACCACGGCCGGCTCCTACCTCATGTACTCCAGCGCCAAGGAGCCCCTGTCCAAGGTCCTGAGGCTGAGGATGGAGTGAACGTTCGTGGACCTGCCAGAGAAGGGGCCGGAAGCAAGAAGGACAGGGCAGGACCCTGCCTAGTGCGCCAATACATCCCTCTTCCCTAGCCAGATCCCCTAAAGATTCCAGGAACCTCTGGGTGGGAGCAGAAGATGGTGCTTGGCCAGGGTGGATGGTCCATGGGAGGCCCTCCTCTGGGCTGGAGTCCTGGCACGTCCCAGTCCCAGCCTCTGTCTAATTGGGCCACCCACCTTGGCAACCCTGCCCATGGCTTTATGTTGTGCTTGCCTCCCCGGCAAGGGTGCCCCTGGTGTGGGACCACAAAGCCCAGGGAGGCTGCAGCCAGACCCCGGGTGGCTTGCTGGTGGTCCAGGCTGAGAACACACACCCTCCCAGCAGTCACCGTGCCTTAAAGAGAAGCTAATATCAAATCGTACCTCAAAGAACCATGGGGCGGGTCACACGCATGGCCCTACCCCTTCCCCCGACAAGCAGAGGCTGACACAGGTTTTGTTGCTTGGTTTTGCAGATTGAGTAACAACTATTTATTGTGCCCTATCTATACGGAAGCCTATTTATAACACTGTCGCTCAAACTCCAGTTACATGTCTGTGTTTCTTGGGGGTCCTCCCTGATAGGGAAGCTCGCTTGGTCTCATTCATCGGGGCAGTCAGGCAGCGTGAAGAGAAAACGGAACCCCACATCTCACACCAATGCGGTCTCGTTCCGCTTCTTCCCAGGATGACTTGCAATCTATGATCAATTCCTCCCGATTCCAATGCCACTGGCCCTGCAGCGCTTTCATCCTCTGACCCTCACCACCCAAATTTGGATCAGAGACCAGGCATGAAAAGACATGTCCTCCAGACTTCCACAGAGGTCCAGGAGCTCAGGCACCGGCCACAGCTTGGTCATTCCTACTGATATCCCCGGGGATATCCAGAGGAAATGAGGGTGGGGGGTTTCTACGCTCGCTTCCAGCCTGCTGAGTGTTAATGTGCACACTGCTCCTCTTCCCTCCGCACACAAGCTGCACTACTGAACTGCTGGCTCCCACTACTGGGCTGACTCACAGAATGCAGGAAAGAATTATGTATGTGGGGGCTTTCAAAAGTTCGTGGGAAAATTCCATGATCTTTTAACTCCATTTTTTCATAGTCTTTTTGAAGTCCCCATTGTACTTGCAAATAGAGTTTTATTATAGCAAAAGGATACAAACAAACAGACCCATAGAGTAAGATCAGAGAGGGTTCTCAATGCAAAGCTTCTGGGTCCCAAAAAGTGATACGCTGCCCTTGCATACCTTCCACCAACCAGGAAACCCTTGTCCTGTTATTGGGGCCTTGTGAGGTCTGCACCATTGATTAAACCAACCACCCTTCACTAGGACACGCTAATAAGGCACATTGGGTCTTTCTGGCCAGCCTGCCACCACTCCAGACGCACCTCGTTAGCATTATCTGGGCTAGCAGCCTCATCAAAGACACTGCAGTCACTTGGGAAATTTCAAGGGTTTAGAGGATGGGTCTCAGGACCTTGGACAAAGACCAAATTCTCTCGACAAAGTTTACCTTAAACCCCAAAGGATGTGCTACTACTCTCTAAAGGGGGCTTCGTTTCACCCATGAATGGATCAGGGACAGGTCAGGAGCTCCAAGGTGATGTCATGACCCCACCTGGGAAAGTCTCACTGGGCCATGGGGGCCATGGATTCCATTCCCAAGCTGCTGCCCTTGAGGCCTGGCCTGGTCACTTCATTGGATTCTTGGAATGCAGGATAGTGGCAAAGTCCTTTTTTCCACTCAGCTCCTTGCCCTGCCCGGGTCCTGATCCTACAGCTGCTTTGTCCAATGCTCGCAGAGGCCTCCTCCCTCTTGGGGTGGGATGGGGCTGCAGTCTGAGGAGACATTAGCCGAATACTGGGAACCTGACTGGAGGAGTTCCCACCACCTTCAGCGAGGCCTTCACGTTGGAAAGAAAGGACTGCAGAGCCCAGGACAGCCATGAAATCATGGAGTCAGTGGGCCTTCATCCCTCCATGTCTGGAAAAGAAGAAATCGGCATGGGTGGGCTGGGGGTGGGGGGTTTGCCCGACATAAGGAGAGCCTGTTCCACGTGTCTGTGGACTTGCCTGGGCTAAGAGAGAGTACAGACACCCGGAAACTGGAGGATGGTGTGGAGACGGAGCTGGAGCCAATTATACGAGCGGGCAGCCTGTATAGTCACACTGGTCACAGGTACAGGAGGGCCTGTGGTCTTCACACTCAGGAAAGCCTAAGCTTAGAAGAACCTCAAGAGTCTTCATGACTTTATTATTTGTTAAACAAGGGCCTGGGGCATCTGCTTTTCTCTGGGGCCCATACATGACATGGGCACCCTGGTTTGAGGGATGCCCATGGGAGTGCTGACCTAAGAGAAGATGATGGTGTTGGAGTCAGGGCTTTCCCGTGTTATTTTTAGCTATCCACTGCTGCACCACAGGCAGATGGCTTTCACCGATGGAGATGTATCCTCTCACAGTAGGCAATCAGAAGTTCAAATACAGGACACCGGGTCTAGCTAAAGGTTCCTGTCTCCTTTCACCCCTGTGGGCCCAGCATTCCTCAATGTCTCTTGTTATCAGTCTCCCCCTGGGTCTAGGAGGTTCCGGTGTCAGGCGGGGCTGTCTAGAGAAACAAAACCAGTTAGACACAAACATGTACAAGAAAGCATGCTAACGCTGCCGTTAGGGACCGCCAAGCAGGTTCTGACTCAGAGGCCCAGTGGACAACTGAACGGAGCGCCGCCCAGTTCTGCTCCATCCTCCCATTGCGCTTGTGTTTCAGAGCATCGCTGCCGTTCATCTCACCAAGGGCCTTCCTGTGTTTGTTTTTTTTTTGCTACCCCTCCACTTTACCGAGTGTGACGTCTTCTCCAGGGCCTGGTCTCTTGATAAAATGCCCAAGGTCTCACTTCCTTTGCTTCCCAGGAGCACTCTGGCCTTAGTTCTTCTGAGAAAGCTGTTTGTTCTTTTGGCAGTGCATGGTACTTCCGATGTTCGTTGCCAGCACCATAGTTCAAATTCATTGCTTTTTCTTTGGTCTTCCTTATTCATGTCCAACTTTCACATGCGTATGAGATGATTCAAAATATTACCGCGTGGGTCAGAAGCACCTCAGTCCTCAATGTAGCACCCTTGCTTTTCATCACTTGAAAGAAGTCTTGTGTGGAAGACTTACATGTTGTCAGGCACTGTTTGCTCTCTTGACCGCTGCTTCTGACGGAATGTTTCAGGAAGAGAATGAAGCACTGGAAGCACTCACTCAGCTCTGCTAAGAAATTTGGAAGACAGCTGCTTGGCCAACCGACTGGAGCAGATTCCTATTTACACCCATTCCAAAGAAAGGTGGCCCAACAGAATGCTCAAATTGTGGAAGAGTATCAATCGAGCTAACACGCAAGCGAAGCTTTTCTAAACGTCATCCAACAACACTTGCAGCGGGACCTTTCCAGGGAGCGGCCAGAGGTTCAGGCTGGCTTCGGAAGAGGCTGAGGCACAAGTGATATCATCGCGGATGTCAGATGAGTGTTGCCTGAAAGCAGAGACTACCAAGAAGACGTTTACTTGTGCTGTATTGACGATGCCAAGGCATTTGGTTGTGGGATCGTAACAAACTACGGGCAGCCTTGAAGGGAATGGAGCTGTGGAACACTAGCTGGTGCTCCTGTGGAACTGGCATGGATCAACAAGAGGCTGTTGGGTGAACAGAACAAGGGAATACTATAAAATCAGGAAAGGTGTGTGACAGGGTGGTATCCTCCCACCGTACTTATTCAATCCGTGTGCTGAGCAAATCACCCGAGAAGCTGGCTTCTATGAAGAAGAATGTGGCCTCGGGATTGGAGGAAGGCTGATTAACAAACTAGCGTTAATGGCACGGGCTTTCTTGCTGAAAGTGAGGAGGACTTGAAGCACCTGCTGAAAAAAATCAAGGAGTATACATCGCAGTATGGATTACAATACAATATAATGAGGACCAAAATTCTTCACAACTAGACCAGTAGTAACTTCATGATACATGGGGGAAAGATTGAAGCCATCAAGGATCTCACCTTGTTTAGATCTACAATCCATCCTTATGGAAGCAACAGTCAAGAAAGCAAACCATGCATTGCATCATGTAACTCTGCTGCAGAAGACCTCCGGAGATTATTGAAAAGCAAGGGTGTTACTCTGAAGACAAAGTGTACCTGACCCACATCATGGGGTTATTCTCCATTGCCTCATATGCATGTGAAGATTGGACATTGAGTAAGGAACACAGAAGAAAATGGATGTATTTGATTTGTGGTCCCGGTGAAGAATGTTGAAAGTACCATGGTCTGCTAAAAGGACAAACAAATCTCTCCTGGGCAAAGTAAGGCCAGAATGCTCCTCTGAGGCAAGGATCGTGAGACTGTCTCATGTACCTTGGACCTGTTGTCAAGAGAGACCAGTCCCTGGAGGAGGCTGTCAAGCTTGGTGAAACAGAGGGGTAGTGAGCGAGACGAAGCCTTGGACGAGATGAACTGATACAGTTGTTGCAACAATGGACTTGGAAATGGGAACCACTGTGAGGATGGCACTGGGCCGGGCAGCATTTCGTTCTGTTGTGCACAGGGCCGCTATGGGTCGGAACTGACAACAACAGCAAGGATTTTCCAGACTGTTCCCTTTTGGAAGCAGATTGCCAGGCCTTACTACGGAGGTGACTCTAAGTGTGTGTGAACCACCATGCAGCACTTAACCATTTGCTGGACCCAAGGACTCCTAATTATTCCTTATCCAATGGGTTCCCTGCTGCTGTGAGTCCATTCTGACACCGAGCAACCCCTACAGGACAGAGTCAAACTGCTCTACAGGGTCTCCAGGCAGGGTCTCCAGGCCGGTTGCCACATCTTTCTTCCTTGGAGCCGCTGGTAGGTCAGAGCCACCAACCCTTCCATTAGCAGCCAAGCGCTGAACCACTGCCCCACCAGGACTCCTGGACTATTCCCTGGGGCCCAGTAAGTTCAATCCAGAGATAGATCCATCCAGAAGACACATTCGGGAAACATTGCTACATGGTTTATTGGACAGTCAAAAATGAGGGTGGAGAATGTCTATCCAGATAATGAATATGGAAGTTCTGGCATATTCATTCCATGGAAAATACGCATCCGTGTACTGGAGTAAGTATAACAAAATGACACCATGTGGACGAATCTCAAAAATACGTGGTGGGCAAAAACAAAACGCACGTCACTGAAGACTACAAACTCTTTGACTCCTCCAGGCGACGTGCAGAATGCAGGGGCACTCTCCTTGCAGGTATGCACGTGGTCAGCGACGGAACTGTGTCCCCCTGAGCATGTGTTGTAAATCCCAATCCCCTCTCCTTGGGGAGCGGGTTTTCTTTGTTCTGTGAAAGAGACAGGATTTGTTTAGGGTGTGCCATACATCGATCTCTTTGGCCATATAAAAAGGGCAACTCGAGCCGGCAGCTAAGCAAGCAGGACAGACGCCAGGCCACCTGAGCTCTCCAAGGAGGCCAGAAACGGAAGCTGAAGCGAGACAAGCACCTTCCCTCGCGCACC